ATGCACACAGTGAGTTATACAACATTATCTCCTTGTAATATCGGCCCGTCCATCCTACCACCGACACCAAGTCACAGAAAAACGATTCTTGTACCCTCTAATGAAACGCTGACTCTGAGACTGTTTGCCGGAAGTGCGAAGCCCTATATCAGGTATTTTTTTCTGCCTGCAATTTAAACTATGGTAAGTAACTGTTCACTAGTATCAAACTATGATAAGTAACTGTTTACTAGTATAAATCTATGGTAAGTAACTGTTCACTAGTATCAAACTATGGTAAGTAACTGTTCACTAGTCTCAAACTATGGTAAGTAACTGCTCACTAGTGTCAAACTATGGTAAGTAACTGTTCACTAGTATCAAACTATGGTAAGTAACTGTTCACTAGTATCAAACTATGGTAAGTAACTGTTCACTAGTATCAAACCACGATAAGTAACTGTTCACTAGTATCAAACCACGATAAGTAACTGTTCACTAGTATCAAACCACGATAAGTAACTGTTCACTAGTATCAAACCACGATAAGTAACTGTTCACTAGTATCAAACCATGATAAGTAACTGTTCACTAGTATCAAACCACGATAAGTAACTGTTCACTAGTATCAAACCACGATAAGTAACTGTTCACTAGTATCAAACCACGATAAGTAACTGTTCACTAGTATCAAACCACGATAAGTAACTGTTCACTAGTATCAAACCACGATAAGTAACTGTTCACTAGTATCAAACCACGATAAGTAACTGTTCACTAGTATCAAACCACGATAAGTAACTGTTCACTAGTATCAAACCACGATAAGTAACTGTTCACTAGTATCAAACCACGATAAGTAACTGTTCACTAGTATCAAACTATGATAAGTTACTGTTCACTAGTATCAAACCACGATAAGTAACTGTTCACTAGTATCAAACCACGATAAGTAACTGTTCACTAGTATCAAACCACGATAAGTAACTGTTCACTAGTATCAAACCACGATAAGTAACTGTTCACTAGTATCAAACCACGATAAGTAACTGTTCACTAGTATCAAACCACGATAAGTAACTGTTCACTAGTATCAAACCACGATAAGTAACTGTTCACTAGTATCAAACTATGATAAGTTACTGTTCACTAGTATCAAACCACGATAAGTAACTGTTCACTAGTATCAAACCACGATAAGTAACTGTTCACTAGTATCAAACCACGATAAGTAACTGTTCACTAGTATCAAACCACGATAAGTAACTGTTCACTAGTATCAAACCACGATAAGTAACTGTTCACTAGTATCAAACCACGATAAGTAACTGTTCACTAGTATCAAACCACGATAAGTAACTGTTCACTAGTATCAAACTATGATAAGTTACTGTTCACTAGTATCAAACCACGATAAGTAACTGTTCACTAGTATCAAACCACGATAAGTAACTGTTCACTAGTATCAAACCACGATAAGTAACTGTTCACTAGTATCAAACCACGATAAGTAACTGTTCACTAGTATCAAACCACGATAAGTAACTGTTCACTAGTATCAAACCACGATAAGTAACTGTTCACTAGTATCAAACCACGATAAGTAACTGTTCACTAGTATCAAACTATGATAAGTTACTGTTCACTAGTATCAAACCACGATAAGTAACTGTTCACTAGTATCAAACCACGATAAGTAACTGTTCACTAGTATCAAACCACGATAAGTAACTGTTCACTAGTATCAAACCACGATAAGTAACTGTTCACTAGTATCAAACCACGATAAGTAACTGTTCACTAGTATCAAACCACGATAAGTAACTGTTCACTAGTATCAAACCACGATAAGTAACTGTTCACTAGTATCAAACTATGGTAAGTAACTGTTCACTAGTATCAAACCACGATAAGTAACTGTTCACTAGTATCAAACCACGATAAGTAACTGTTCACTAGTATCAAACCACGATAAGTAACTGTTCACTAGTATCAAACCACGATAAGTAACTGTTCACTAGTATCAAACCACGATAAGTAACTGTTCACTAGTATCAAACCACGATAAGTAACTGTTCACTAGTATCAAACTATGATAAGTAACTGTTCACTAGTATCAAACCACGATAAGTAACTGTTCACTAGTATCAAACCACGATAAGTAACTGTTCACTAGTATCAAACTATGATAAGTAACTGTTCACTAGTATCAAACCACGATAAGTAACTGTTCACTAGTATCAAACCACGATAAGTAACTGTTCACTAGTATCAAACTATGATAAGTAACTGTTCACTAGTATCAAACCACGATAAGTAACTGTTCACTAGTATCAAACCATGATAAGTAACTGTTCACTAGTATCAAACCACGATAAGTAACTGTTCACTAGTATCAAACCACGATAAGTAACTGTTCACTAGTATCAAACCACGATAAGTAACTGTTCACTAGTATCAAACCACGATAAGTAACTGTTCACTAGTATCAAACCACGATAAGTAACTGTTCACTAGTATCAAACTATGATAAGTAACTGTTCACTAGTATCAAACCACGATAAGTAACTGTTCACTAGTATCAAACCACGATAAGTAACTGTTCACTAGTATCAAACTATGATAAGTTACTGTTCACTAGTATCAAACCACGATAAGTAACTGTTCACTAGTATCAAACCACGATAAGTAACTGTTCACTAGTATCAAACCACGATAAGTAACTGTTCACTAGTATCAAACCACGATAAGTAACTGTTCACTAGTATCAAACCACGATAAGTAACTGTTCACTAGTATCAAACCACGATAAGTAACTGTTCACTAGTATCAAACCACGATAAGTAACTGTTCACTAGTATCAAACTATGATAAGTTACTGTTCACTAGTATCAAACCACGATAAGTAACTGTTCACTAGTATCAAACCACGATAAGTAACTGTTCACTAGTATCAAACCACGATAAGTAACTGTTCACTAGTATCAAACCACGATAAGTAACTGTTCACTAGTATCAAACCACGATAAGTAACTGTTCACTAGTATCAAACCACGATAAGTAACTGTTCACTAGTATCAAACCACGATAAGTAACTGTTCACTAGTATCAAACTATGGTAAGTAACTGTTCACTAGTATCAAACCACGATAAGTAACTGTTCACTAGTATCAAACCACGATAAGTAACTGTTCACTAGTATCAAACCACGATAAGTAACTGTTCACTAGTATCAAACCACGATAAGTAACTGTTCACTAGTATCAAACCACGATAAGTAACTGTTCACTAGTATCAAACCACGATAAGTAACTGTTCACTAGTATCAAACTATGATAAGTAACTGTTCACTAGTATCAAACCACGATAAGTAACTGTTCACTAGTATCAAACCACGATAAGTAACTGTTCACTAGTATCAAACTATGATAAGTAACTGTTCACTAGTATCAAACCACGATAAGTAACTGTTCACTAGTATCAAACCACGATAAGTAACTGTTCACTAGTATCAAACTATGATAAGTAACTGTTCACTAGTATCAAACCACGATAAGTAACTGTTCACTAGTATCAAACCATGATAAGTAACTGTTCACTAGTATCAAACCACGATAAGTAACTGTTCACTAGTATCAAACCACGATAAGTAACTGTTCACTAGTATCAAACCACGATAAGTAACTGTTCACTAGTATCAAACCACGATAAGTAACTGTTCACTAGTATCAAACCACGATAAGTAACTGTTCACTAGTATCAAACTATGATAAGTTAGTGTTCACTAGTATCAAACTATGATAAGTTACTGTTCACTAGTATCAAACTATGGTAAGTAACTGTTCACTAGTATCAAACTGATGTAGTTAGTTTGAATTTTTTGGTATTTTACGCCTTTTCATCGTGTTTATAATGAATATACATGGATTTTTTTGATGTATGAAAATGAGCATAAATCTGATATTATTTCTCTGGAAATCCATGTAAAAGGCCCGGATGACAAATGGACAATTTGTATATTTCTCTGGTATTTCTTTCAATTACGTTTATTGCGAGATGTTTTACTTTGTTAAAATATACGATATTCGTTACATCGTTTGTTTCAGAATTAAAGAGTTCATCGTTTCTGCTCCATATGGCATCAGTTTGTCGCCCTTGGTTTCGGACGCAAATCGGACAGATGTATGGTACACAGAGTTGTCATGGAAACCAGATCATAGTCAATTCGGAGAGAACATATTCTGCTTCCAAGCGGTTGACACAAATAAGCAAGTCTATTATTTTGAAGTATTAAAGTCATGCAGTGATTGTTCAATAGCACGTGTAATACATATTTATCCCTCCCTTCTACCAACTTTCCTTAAAAATATCAACGCTAAAATATCATTTATAAGGCAAAACAGATATGGAAATGAAATGTTCATAGGGTTTAATATATACCCAGCAAGCACATATTTACTATTATCAAACTTGCTACAATGCTGGTATTTCTAAATATGTTTCAATATCACATCTTAAGAGAAAAAATAGGCGTTGAAAGTGAAAACAAAAACAGCAATACTCGGCGATATTGATTCACATGACGTTTGTAATCTATGAAGCAGAAGACGTATATCCTTTCGGAACACCTGGTTTTATTATCCTTTCGGAACACCTGACCCCGGGATTATGAAACATTCTAATACTTAAGCTTTTGCTTAGCCAATCACGTATGACGTAACTTTTTATGGCGTTATCTTTGATTGGTCATGTCAACACTTAAGACAAGTTTGGAATAAAGATCATTTCATGATCATCTGGGCCTGGTCTTATCCTCCTTGCACTTTCCAATTGGTCTCCATGTTAATCTTTTTCCTTTTTTTATATTTTGTCTGAGTGTTATCAATTTTGTCTGAGTGTTATCAATTTTGTCTGAGTTTGTCTGTGTGTTATCAATTTTGTCTGAGTTTGTCTGTGTGTTATCAATTTTGGAGTTTGAATTATGTTTTTTTTGACACATAGGTATTCTCTTGTTTTTCAGTATGATGAGTGTACAGCGCTGTTATATTTTCATTGCTGACGGTATGTTTGCCTCTTCTAAATAATGAAAATGCTGAGTGCTTGATAGTTATGGTGGGAGAAAAAACAATTGGAAAAATACCATCTGAAAACAAATGATATATTTAATAGATTCTAATAACATGAACACTGTTAAGTACCTCAAGCTATTATGTTGTTTACCTTGTCGATGTGATAGGATGGTTATTTTAATATTGCTAGCCGTCCACCCATGTGACAGTGGACCGTGCCGTAACCATGGAAACTGCTCCCTGGACCTGGACACATATAAATGTACCTGCCCTGTTGGCTTTACGGGTAACACTTGTGAAACAGGTAAATCATGCATACTGTCCCCGCTATCAAACACAGTAAATACATACATAGCATGCATGTACCTAAAGGGTATATGTACATATTTGAGGTTAATGGTTCAAATTAATGCAATTATTTCTAATAACGCCTTAACGCCTATTAAAACAAAATGTCATACAGTTGAAAAATGAAAAAGGTGTTAAAAATAGAATCATACGGGTTCTTAAGACTGCAATGAGTAGAGCAAATTCAATTATCTTTTCTCCAAGCCTGTAGCGGGGTTTTATACAAATAGATTCACTGACCATGCAATACCTATGTTCCAAACGATGATGTTGCCAAACTTAAATCATGCAAAGAGAATACCAAAGGTTATTATTTTCTCACCCAGTCTGATAAACTCTTTACATTTTGCGTTGTTTGCGTACTCTGATTGTCGACAAAAAAACCCGTCTATTAAGCTTGTCTGATGATCTGGCAAGGACATCGTCAGCAAGGTTTTCTTAATCCTCCAATGTTATTATTATAGTTTATATCTTTATTGATCTCAATTTATATCGTTCATTTCAATCATTTGGCGGTTTACATTGACGTCTGCAAATATGTTGGTCCTTCATTGTGTGTATGCCATCATCATCGTTATCACACCCTACTTACACCGCGGTAAATACTGCTTTTACAATTATTTCATGTTAATTTAAACATCCCTCTTTTGCAGATATCGACGAATGTTCAAGCAACCCATGTATGAACGGTGGTACCTGTTGGAATCGTATCCCACGATTTGTTTGCTTTTGTCCATCTGGATTTATTGGAAATCAGTGCCAAGGTATAACCCTGTGCACCATATTGTATTTCTGGACTGCAATGTGTGTTGCATTTTGTGTATTTTGCTCTTATATTTAGGAATTAGTCATATGGTCTATGAGTAATGACCACAATGTATGATCACGATGTTTAATGAGTTAATATGTTTATATAACTTTATTATTACCAGATACTGATAAGTGCGCGGTCAATCCATGCCAGAACTTTGGCACGTGCATATCTTCTCCTGCGGGTTACAACTGCACATGCTTAAGTGGATACACTGGAAAGGAATGTCAAAACGGTACGTTATCTAAATAGAACTTAGCTTCCCGTTTGAGATATATACAATTATTTCATTTAATACCCTGTGGAATACTCCATAGGCAAACTACCAATAAAGAAGAAAGCATCGTTATGTAACATAAACAATAATATGCTTAATGATGCGTTACAGAACAGGATGAGTGCAAATCCAACCCCTGCCAGAACGGAGGTACGTGCCAGGACATGGTTGGTGGATTTCTCTGTCGTTGTCCTGTCAAATACACTGGGAGCATATGTCAAACAGGTATTTCTTTAAACTGGCAAAGTAATCAACAAACAAAGAAGTTCGCCTATCTTCATAAATTTAGTGATCACTCTAACACTGTTTATGATTTGAAAAAAAAATCACTTCTGATTTATTTTCTCAAAAGGTTCCAAGACAATATTAGAAGACATTTTTTTACACTTGTGTAGAGTAGGCTGATCATGAGCATACAAGACTATTCAATGTGTTTCTTCAGAGATCGACTACTGTCATCCGAATCCCTGTCAAAACGGAGGGGTGTGTACCGGACTTGGTAGCAGCTATGCTTGCGCATGTCCAGGGAACTACCTGGGACTAAACTGCGAAAGAGCTCAAGACAAGGTAAGCCCCAGGAAGTGGTTCTGCAAATATAAGGCGATCTTACCTTGCATAACTCTCTTTTTAAAAAAGTTTTCTTTAACAGTCATACCAGAAATGTTTGACTTAGATTACCGACCAGCTGCCTTCAATGTTAAATATTTCCTGACTAACGGTCTCTTAACTTACTAACTTGAATCAAGTATTGAAGAGTATCCATATCCCTTGTAATTATACCGTCACTTTATGTCGAATTGTAAAAGTTAAGCATCATTTCCCCTAGGGATGCTCCTCTCCAACGGATTCGTATTGTATGTGTAACGTTGATGGGAAACCGATTAAAGTTCCGGTTCCTGTCTCTGAAGCTCGGAGCGACGGAATTGACAAGGAGGATTTTGTTGCTGGATTGATAGGATTCCCAATTGGGGCGACTGCTGGAGCGATTATGGCCGCTTTATGTCACTACCTCCTCAGACCAAAGTGCACTCAACGTTACAGCAGGTTAGGTTTAATCAAATCAAGCTGTTTATAAAAGATTAAACATACTTTTTCTGTACAAAATCGAATTTAGGACCACTGGGATTTTGGTATAAGTTTATAAATGTATCTGTATTTATGCTAATTAATTGCTTGTGCATTTATCAATGAAGCAGAACTTAACGAAAGCTAACATTTAGCTCTACAGTTAAGTACAAACACAATTTAATTACAAAATTTTAAATCACCGATGTTTAGACACATTTATCCACTGCATACAATCGATCTGATGATGTCAATGTGAGCCTACAATCAACACGATGTCATTCTGCTGGTTACATATCCGAAAAAAAATCAGTCCAGGATGTTGTTTTTGGTCATTGCCTGTCAGAAATCATTAAATTGCCAACAAACCTATTCTGCGAACAACAAATATCACCATTGACACATTGTGTCTTATTATATTCTAAAAAAATCATCAATCATTCAGTCTCTACATTAACAGGAGAGGAAGTGCTCGTCAGCCTCTCCAGCGACCGGGGTCGTCAATGTCAACTCGGAGTCTTATTGGTCGGACCTCCCCAGTGTCACCGGGTGGCGTCAGACCCTCCGTCATCACCCCAAAGCCTCTCAATGTATACAGGGCGGGATTTATAGACCCTACCAGCCACAAGACAGGCGAAAGGCTTAATGATGATAGCTATCTGGATGGCTCCACTGACTGGTAAACTGAATAAGTTGATGGTATGTCGCCATTTTTTCGCTATTCGTTGACAGGAAATTTCCCAATGAATTGGAAAATTAGACAGATACCGCTGTAGAACAAGGTGAAAATATAACTGTACACAGACACCAGACCCATCTGGGTTTGAAAGACGAACATTTAGCCTTTACGCCAATAGTGTAATAGTTTAACAAGACTTTTTCGTTAGCATACTCTCCAAATATAAGTGTTTGTTGTGTTGAAATTGAAATGTGTTGTAATTATGTAACTTTTATGTAAAGGATGTACTTGTCTGAAGTGTAATTACGTAACTTTTATGTAAAGGATGTACTTGTCTGAAGGATAATTATGTATTTTTTTATGTAAAGGGTGTACTTGTCTGAAGTATAATTATGTAACTTTTATGAAAAGGATGTACTTGTCTGAAGTATAATGATGTAACTTTTGTGTAAAGGATGTACTTGTCTGAAGTGTAATTATTTAACTTTTATGTAAAGGATGTACTTGTCTGAAGGGTAATTATGTAACTTTTATGTAAAGGATGTACTTGTCTGATAGGTAATTATGTAACTTTTATGTAAAGGATGTACTTGTCTGAAGTATAATTTTGTATTTTTTTATGTAAAGGATGTACTTGTCTGAAGTGTAATTACGTAACTTTTATGTAAAGGATGCTTTTATGTAAAGGATGTCATTGTATGCAGTGTAATTATGTAACTTTTATGTAAAGGATGCTTTTATGTAAAGGATGTCATTGTATGCAGTGTAATTATGTAACTTTTATGTAAAGGATGTACTTGTATGAAGTATAATTATGTAACTTTTATGTAAAGGATGTACTTGTCTGATAGGTAATTATGTAACTTTTATGTAAAGGATGTACTTGTCTGAGGTGTTATTATGTAACTTTTATGTAAAGGATGTACCTGTCTGAAGTGTAATTATGTAACTTTTATGTAAAGGATGCTTTTATATAAAGGATGTACTTGTCTGAAGTGTAATTATGTAACTTTTATGTAAAGGCTGTACTTGTCTGAAGTATAATTATGTATTTTTTTTATGTAAAGGATGTACTTGTCTGAAGTGTAACTATGTAACTTTTATGTAAAGGATGTACTTGTCTGATAGGTAATTATGTAACTTTTATGTAAAGGATGTACTTGTATGAAGTCTAATTATGTCACTTTTATGTAAAGGATGTACTTGTCTGAAGTATAATTATGTATTTTTTTTATGTAAAGGATGTACTTGTCTGAAGTATAATTTTGTATTTTTTTATGTAAAGGATGTACTTGTCTGAAGTATAATTATGTAACTTTTGTGTAAAGGATGTACTTGTCTGAAGTAAAATTATGTAACTTTTATATAAAGGATGTACTTGTCTGAAGTATAATTATGTAACTTTTATGTAAAGGATGTACTTGTCTGAAGTATAATTATGTAACTTTTGTGTAAAGGATGTACTTGTCTGAAGTGTAATTATGTTACTTTTATGTAAAGGATGTACTTGTCTGAAGTATAAACAAAAGTCGCAGCCGGTATGAGGACGGATGCCTATAAAACAAGATAACCAAATAGAAAAAAATAGATATTAAAACTGAACCCGAAACTCAAATTAATATTCTACGTCTGTTATTACATTAGCAAAAAGACCAAACAAAAACGAAATTTATTTGTTCTCACAAGAAGACAGGCGATCTTATCACAAGGAAATCGTATCCCCTAGCATTTTAGGAGGCACGGTGTTCTAGTGGTAGGACGTTCGGCTTGTGAACGAAGGGTTGTGGGTTCGAGTCACGGCAAGGCACTGTGTTGTATCTTTGAGCAAGATACTTTACTCTATTTTTTCCAGTCTACTCAGCTGTAAATGAGTACATGGTTTGGCAGTGCTTGAACGGTTGAATGTGAGCGGCGAAATGGCAGCTCCGGCTGTATGTTCCCCAGGGAGTTAAGAAAGATATTGTCTGGTTGAAAGGGCCTTATAACTTCGAACTAATAAAACAACATGTGGTAGTTAAATAACATTTATTAATAGTATAACAATAGTTGGATTGAATTGTAAACGCAACGCCCAAGCAACAACCAATAAATAATATAATATAATATAACAACAAAATAAAGACCCTGCAAAGGCTACATCAATACATTTCAGAAACTGGTACAGTTTTACTATTGTATGTTACAAAGACATATCAAATATGCCATTGTTTTAATTGCGTTCCTTGTATACTACTTACATTAAAGCCGGTACAGTAAGGAACCAGAATGGTTTGGATATATTCTCCGCCGTAGATACAAATGTGTACGTGAGCGCAAACGTGCTACGTATATCAACACATTATATAAATGTGAGCCCACACATAAATGCTAACATCTGTGTATCAATACACACACACACGCATACACACTTTCGTGTATATCAAACATATATAAATACATACATATAAAAAGAAAAAGGTCGTTCCAATTTTTTTTACAAATAATACTACCCACACTCTCACAACATTGAACTGTTACCAGATGCAGTATACAGTCGATATGAATGCAATTTGAGTGACTGATAAATAGAATGTCGCCCGTTAAGTTCAATGCTTATATTTACATTTACAAAGTTTGTTTTGTATAGTAACAGAAGCAAAAATACGTTTGAATTTCCCGCTTATCATATCATTGACGTCAGTAAGTTCAAATTCCAGAACAGCCGAATTTTCCAGAAGAAATAATATAGTCCCTCGTGTTATTGCAAACCACACGCATGGTTTGAACACAAACTTAACTTTATTATTTGTTTTAAAATTAAAGCTGTTTTTCGCGCATTGATAGATTACATGTATTTGGAAGTGATGCGGCGCTGAACGGACTTGATTGTTTCCTCGGACACGCTTATGTTTAACATCGACTGGAATATTACGTTATTTCCAGAAGCATATATACTCGGAAATTTTTGATCAAAGTGGTCCTTTCAGTAGGTGATAACGATTCCAAGGACATTTCGTTTGAAACAGATTCCATGTCGATACCCTCGACTTTTACAAGGTTTTTTATGAATGCTAAATGTTAGTGTTGTGGTTATTCACTGATGTTATGCATAACTCAAAATCTCGAAACCGAGCCCCTGTGTGATGACGTTGACAAACTTGGTAATTTCGTATCTATAATGGCGCTTACAATAATTTTGTGGTACCCACACATCTTATAATAAAATTATATTGTCATAATTTGTCAAGTTCTTTTTTTTTGCGATGACCCAACATCGCTAAATGCTAACGAACACAGAAAGTTCTCTGCCTATTGATATCGGATGTGACTGGCGGTCATGTTTGTTTACCTTGTACCAGCTGTATTCCTACACTGGCCGTATCACTGTAAATTGTAGTATACATTCTCATACACTGCAATTTGGTTTACTAACGACATATAGGCAAATGCAACACAGAATGTAAATACACAGTATTGACCACAATAAATGAGAAATTCAATTTGTCTAGGACGAACCCCTATGAGCAGTGCACTATGATTTATGAAAGGCAGTGATATAACCTAAAATCACTATGAGTGAAAAACGACCAATAAAGCTAATTTTTGTTTGGATTTCGTATTATCTTTTTGTGACTATTAAACGCTTTGTCCGTCATATCTCATCCTGTGTGTTGGGATATCAGTACTACCACGATATTAAACCCAGCAGTGAATAGTCTGCCAATAAACACTCCTGGAGAATCTTTGATATACAAAGCAGTTAATGGTAACAGTCTTAACGTCGTTCCTGTTAGTCATGGCTGTTAACCTTGTAAACTAACGAAGACAAAGTTACCTTTGGATGCAGCTGAAGAAAAACGTTTCACTTTCCTTCTTAAAGTTAGAAATATTACCAACAAACAGGATTTCTTTGGTTTAAAATTCATCATGTTTTTCATCTCTTGCTCATTTGCCATTTTTGGTCTGTGACTCCAACTTCGTATTTAGTTCATTGTCAATTTCAGCCATTAGTTTAGCTGAAAATATTTTGACGAACCTGCAAGAAATTAAATAAGAGCAACATAACTTCATGGAATTTTCTGCAATAAGCATGGATACTCTTTTATTTCGGATCAATGAAAACTATTCTATAATCTATAACTGAAATTTGCTGATACAAATTTAATCGTAAGCTTTTCTTTAAATATCGCCTTTTCATTTAATGCGCAGCCACAATCACATGTGATGCATATACATAGAAATAAACTGATGGTGTTAACACATTTTAACTATCTGGATATTACATATACTTTTGAATTATAAGGAATTTCACCATAACAGGATGAGTAACGTTTTGGAAAGCGAGGTCCAATAGTCAAATTTTAAGTTAAGGTTAGTTATTTTGCCACTTACCATTTAAAAGTGTCGGGGAAATACTGGTTAAGGTAGAGGGAGACGAGACCTGAAGTTGTCGAGATCCACGCCTCATCACAACGGTTTGCAATGGCCACAGCCATTAGTCGAGCACATCTTTTGGAGGACATTCTGTGTTTATGCGGATCCATTCTACCTTGTAAAATCTGAATAAAAACGTAATGGGAATAAGACAATAATCAACAATAACAAAACCAGCTGAAAAGGAAACATTAGTTTTTAAAATATAATTTTATTCAATACATGAAAACATATCACGATAAACACAATTAATAAAATATTTATTCGGTTTACTATTTGTAAATAGTATAGTAATAAAAGCGCTATTGTCTGGATGCAAATTTCGGTACACTGATATGTAAATCTTGTTTGTCACTTACCTCCCCTTCTTTTTCTTTTAAAGCGTCCTGTAAGAGGTTGGTATAAATTGGTCCGGGGCAAACGGAAGTGACGGCTATATTCTTACTGTATACTTCCGGTCTAAGCGAATCAAACCAGCCCTAAATAAAAAATTGTTTGATGATGAGACCTCAGAAAGTAATAACCATGTATATTTCTATCTCGAGTATATGTTTTTTACGTATTTTAGTTCAAGTTCCTGTCAATTTAATTCATTTTAAAATTTGTGTGAAATGAAAAGAGCTGCTAAATAATGATGGGATATTTACTTTCATAACATTAAACAAATACCAATCTGGTAAATTGTTTACTCGACGTGTTTTGTAACTCTGTAATTCGATGACGACGCTCTATGTTCCAAAGGAGTTTAACTATGTCGTGTATGGTATGAGAGCGGATTAAGTATAGTTAGGGAAAGCTAAACCTAGTGACGATGGATGAAAGCAATTCTGCATAAGGATAGGTCTCATTAGGATCAATGTAAAAGTTTTACTTCAATGGCCGGTCACACAACAACGTTTTCCCGAAAGTGATAACTCAGATTGACTTTAACATTAATTGATTGTGTAATGAGTCTCCTGTTGGTTCGTAAGTGAAAGACCTTTTATCACCTGGTCATAATTATAGACTTATACTCCTCAGAGGTTAGCATACATGCGAGTCACTCAAATAGTTCATTCAACCGTTCACGGTATATAAAATGCATCATCGCATTTTGAAGTGTGCGACATTATTGGGAGTTTGAAGCAAAAAATAAATAAAAGCGAGCATCGATTCGTTATATGTATTTTTTTTTTTTTTTTTTTTTTTTTTT